GTGCTAAACCCGGGATGAATGGGGATAAATGGGGATAAATGGGAATAAACCCGGGACAAAGGAGGATAAATCCAGGCTAAATTTGGGATAAATCCAGGATAAATTTGGGATAAACCCAGGCTGTCACTCACCCTGCGGCTGCGGTTGTGCTCGGCCGAGCGCAGGTGCCGCTGCAGCAGCGTCCCCTGCGCCGGGATCAGCATGTCGCAGGCCAGGCAGTGCGCCGCCTCGATCCGCTTGAAAAAGTGCTCCTGCCCGATCCCTAATTCCCAAAAATTCCCAACATTCCGTGAATTCCACAAATCCAGGGTGACAGGAATCAAACAGCCCCGGTCCCACCCCGAAATTCCCTTTTTCAGTGAGAAAATCCAGTGGATTTTAACCCAAAAATGAGAATTTCCCTCAATCCCATTTGAAAAGTGCTCCTGCCCGATCCCTGGTCCCAAAAATTCCCAAAATTCCGTGAATTCCAGAAATCCAGGGTGACAGGAATCAAACAGCCCCGGTCCCACCCCGAAATTCCCTTTTTCAGAGAGAAAATCCAGCAAATTTTAACCCAAAAAATGAGAATTGGCCCCAATTCCCTTGAGGAAAAGCTCCTGAGCCAGCCCTGATCCCAAAATTCCGTAAAAATTCCTCAAAATTCTGGAAAAATTCTGGAAAAATTCTGGAAAAATTCCAAAAAATGCATGAATTTGGGTGAGGAGAAGTAGAACAGCCCCAAAGTTCCCTTTTCCAGAGAGAAAATCCAGCAAATTTTAACCCAAAAAAGGAGAATTTCCCTCAATTCCCTTGAGGAAAAGCTCCTGAACCAGCCCTGATCCCAAAATTCCCAAAAATGTAAAAAAAAAATTCCAAAAATTCCCAAAAATTCCATAGATTTGGGGCAGCAGGAGTCAAGCATTCCCAATCCCATCCCAAAATTCCTGGAATTCCTAGGAAATCCCAAATGTTAATCCTGGAAAATCCCAAAATTTCCCAACTAAGACCTGGAAAATCCCAAATAAAACCTCAAAAATTAAAACCAATCCCAAAAAAAAAAAAAAAATATCCCAGGGAAAAAAAAAACCCAAACCAAGCCCAAAAAATTCCCAAATCAATCCGTAAAAACCCCAAATAATCCCAATAAAAATTCCCAAATAAACCCAGGAAATTTCCCAAATAAAACCTTGGAAAATCCCAAATAAAACCTCAAAAATTCCAAATAAAACCAGGAAAATTCCCAAATAATCCCAATAAAAAATCCCAAATAATCCCAGGAAAAAAATCCCAAAATCAATCTGAAAAAAATCCCAAATAAAATCTGGAAAATCCCAAATCAAGCCCCAAAAATTCCCCAATAAAATCTGGAAAATTCCCAAATAAACCCAGGAACAAACACCCAAACCAAGCCCCAAAAATTCCCAAATCCAGGAAAATCCCCGGTCAGAGCCCCGAGAATTCCCGGGAATCCCCGAAGTTCGGGATCAGGATTTGGGATTTGGGATTGAGACCAGGATTTGGGATCAGAATTTGGGATTTGGGGTGGGAATTCGGGATTTGGGATCAGGATTTGGGATCAGGGTGGGAACTTGGGATTTGGGGTGGGAATTTGGGATCAGGGTGGAAATTTGGGATTTGGGATCAGGGTTTGGGATCAGATTTTGGGATTTGGGATCAGGATTTGGGGTTTGGGATCAGGATTTGGGATTTGGGATGGGAATTTGGGATTTGGGATGAGGGTTTGGGGTGGGAATTTGGGATTTGGGGTGGGAATTTGGGATCAGGATTTGGGATCAGGATTTGGGATTTGGGATCAGGGTGGGAATTTGGGATTTAGGATGAGGATTTGGGGTGGGTGGGAATTTGGGATTTGGGATCAGATTTTGGGATTTGGGATCAGGATTTGGGATTTGGGATCAGGATTTGGGATTTGGGATCAGGATTTGGGATTTGGGATTTGGGGTTTGGGATCAGGATTTGGGATCAGGATTTGGGATCAGGGTGGGAATTTGGGATCAGGATTTGGGATTTGGGGATTTGGGATCAGGATTTGGGATTTGGGATTTGGGAATTTGGGATTTGGGGATTTGGGATCAGGATTTGGGATTTGGGATTTGGGATCAGGATTTGGGAATTTGGGATCAGGATTTGGGAATTTGGGATTTGGGGATTTGGGATCAGAATTTGGGATTTGGGATCAGGATTTGGGATTTGGGATTTGGGGATTTGGGATCAGGATTTGGGATCAGGGTGGGAATTTGGGATCAGGATTTGGGATTTGGGGATTTGGGATTTGGGGATTTGGGATCAGGATTTGGGATTTGGGATTTGGGATCAGGATTTGGGATTTGGGGATTTGGGATCAGGATTTGGGATTNGGGATTTGGGATCAGGATTTGGGATTTGGGGATTTGGGATCAGGATTTGGGAATTTGGGATTTGGGATCAGGATTTGGGATCAGAATTTGGGAATTTGGGAATTTGGGATCTGCACACCCCGGAAGGGATCCGGCCTCGCTCTGTTCCCGTCTCTCTCCGGCAGCTCCTGGCGGCGCCGCTCGATTTTCCGGTTCCGGTTCACGATGTACTCCTGGAAAAACGGGAATAAAAACGGGAATTCCGGGAATAAAAATGGGAATTCTGGGAATAAAATCTGGGAATTCCGGGAATAAAAATGGGAATTCCTGTTCACGATGGACTCCTGGAAAAACGGGAATAAAATCTGGGAATTCCGGGAATAAAACCTGGGATTCCTGTTCACGATGTACTCCTGGAAAAACGGGAATAAAATCTGGGAATTCCGGGAATAAAATCTGGGAATTCCTGTTCACGATGGACTCCTGGAAAAATGGGAATAAAAACGGGAATTCCGGGAATAAAATCTGGGA